AAAACAAAATGTCATAAGATAAAAAGATAGTAAAAAATACGATTAAGATTGTAAAATGTAAAAAAATTAGGAATGTGATAAAAATGAAGACTCATGAATTGATTTTACTGATAAACTTCCAAAGAAATTATGAATATTTGATTCTCACTATTTTTATGTAGACATAGATCGAAAAACTCATAGTATTTTTAAGAATCTTTCACGTAAATCAAGAAATTTGATTCATAGTATTTTTAAAATATCTTTTATAAAAGGCACACTTCAAGAAATTAAGCTACAATTTGAATTTAATATTAACTACTCTGCGGTTTAGGTAATTAAAAAAATAAAAAGGTGCTTTATTTAGACTGCATTAAATGTTGACGGTTTTTTTTGTTACTATTTTTAGTAATTAGGTTGTCTCTTTTTTTTCTCTCTCTATATATATATATATAGAGAGAGAGAAGGGATCATATGAGAATAAGACATAATGAAAGAAATGAGAATGAATATACACAGTTGGATCGTGCAAATTAATGGGTGAGATGCAGCTGACCAGCATTTGACCCCGCGGTGGCATACTTGTAATTGTGTCAAACGTTACGTCCAATTTTTTAAAGGAAAGGGCACATGCGTCTTTTACTTTCAGCCTATGGTAAATTTTCTCAAAAACATTAATGACTTAATTAAATTTTCGGATTTCCGTCCTTGGAATGAACTTCCATTATCAACGCCGATTCTTCGTGAAGAGATTTTTTTGGCTGATTTCTTCCCCAATTCTTTTTTAATCTTCTTTCAGATCTTTGTCGAGCTCTTAAGGAAACATCACACGGATCTCATAGCCGTCCAGACAGATTCAAAAGAAAAAAAAAATGGTTAATTCTCCTCAATCGAAGAAATCCGGTAAGATTATAAGCAATTTTACCACTTTTCAATTTGTAGAAGCAATTATGTTGGTGTTATTGCTGATGGTAATAAAAATTAAAAAAAAAAAAACCCAAATTCAGAGTTCGTCATTTTGTAGTTTAGGAAAATTTATATATTTGTCTCGTTTATCACTAGATCTTAATTGAAATGTGTGTTTTTGTATTCAATTTTGGTGAATATATGTAATTTACACTCTGTTTTTATGTTAGTTTTTGTTTTTGT